GATTTATCTCTTGACAATTGATTATCTTCTGGAAAGATTGACAAAATTGTCAGTCATAACTATTTCAACGTGTCCAATAATTACTATTTTAATTAAATTTTAAAATGATACAGGTAATACTCTCTAGGAATAAGCATTTACTTATCTGTGCTTTGTTCCATTTCTAAATATTTCCATCATTGATTAAATACTCGCTTAAATGTCAAAATCACCTCTTTTATTTGTAACTTTATTAAGCTGTGAATGACAAATAAAATGATAAATGAGGTATGCAACATGGTTATTTGATATATATGTATATTATGAAACAATTAATGTAGCCAAGATAGTTAACACACCCACCAATTTATCTTACCTGGTGAATGATTTTTGTTTTCTTGTTATATTTTTTTCCTATTTGTTTTATTGTTAATGAGGATGTTTACAATACACTCTCAGCAAATTTTTAGTGTATACTACAGCATTGCTTACTGCAGTGACCATGATGCACACCATATCCTCAGAAGTCATCCATAGTTGAATATTGGTCTCCTTTGAGTACTCTGTCTTTAATACCATTTTTTGTTAATACGGTTTTAATTGAAGTAGAATTACATTACTTTACCGCTACCTTTCTCCCTCCAGTGACTCCCAGCTACCCTCCTTCAAAGCCTTCCCATGTCCCCTCTGCTCTCAAGTTTATAGCCTCATTTCCTCTAGTTGCTATTACATACATGCATATGTATGTATATATGCGTATACACAAATATAACACTATAATGCGAGGAGTTTCAGAGTTGACCACTTTGCATTGGACAAGTAATAAGAGGCTCATCCCTGAGGTAGGTTCATTCTTCTTTTCCCAGAAGTTGTTAGTTGCCTAAGTTCTTTGCCTAAGGGTGGGACCCTGAGAAATTTTTCTCATCTCCATTAGCATGTCCATTGAGATAGCCATTGTTATAGCCCTGTCTATGCAGTTATTTCTAGGAGAGATTGTTTTACAGCAGACTTCCTGGCATTATTCTTACAAGCTCTCTGCCCTATCTTCCTTCGTGTCCTCTGAGCCATAGATGAAGGCGCTGTAATGTAAATAAATGTGTCTGTTGGGGGGTGCATTGCCCATGATCTGCTGATCTATGCATTGCATACAGTAATGGATTTCTGTACTGATCTCCATCTGCTGTAAAGAGAAACTTCTCTGATGAGGAGTGGTAACTACACTTATCCAGGAAAGGTGGCTTGCACACCAGCTTTAACATTCTTCATTGTTTACTCATTTTTGTTATTCTTTTTAAAAATAGTGTATTATTATGAATGTATATGATGATTTATAAAATTAGACATTAAAACAAACTGTAAAACAAATAAAATCACAAAGATACATCCTGTAACACAAGGAAATTGCTAGTAATATTTCAAATGCTTTTTAAATAAAACCTGTCCATGTTTTTTTCTTTTACTGCATATTTGCTTATTATCTTAAAGTGCTTGAGCAAATCTGTGAGTAATTTCCTGTAACAGGAACCATTTGTACTTACATTCATTCATCCTTCCTGTCAAAGTATTACTTTACTTTATTTACTAGTACTATAGCAACTGTTAAATACATACTGTGTTTTTCGGGAACCATGTAAGTGCTTGTATAAGCAAAAGTAGACCTGATCTACCATGGTAACACTTCCACTTGGGCTAGGGACCCAAGCATAGCAACCATGTGCACTTTGTTGTGTAGTTAGAAGTTTGTTGCATGCTATGGATGGAAATCTAGGCAACTCAACAAACGCATCACAAAAGCCTGATGAGTTTGAGATAGCATTAAGATTTTCAGATAATCACATCAAATAATAGTTGCTTATATTCATGCCAAATCAGGGGAACCCAGACCTAGCCATCATCCAAACACAAATGGGGATAGAAACCTATGTGTTTATAAGATTCATAAATGAAGAGAGTTTACAGCACAGAACCCTGCAAAGCATGCAGAATGGCCATGTAAGGGAAGATGAGACAAAGAAAATGATTCTGAAACCAGCAAGACCAGCAAAATAAAAGAAGAACCCGGGGGCTAATGTCCCAAGACTGGGAAAGATGTGTCTGCCCAGGGAACTTTGGTACTTCATTGAAGGCATTGGTGACTTTATGAAAAGCTACAAGAATTGGAAGCAACAAGAAGTGATGATAAGACACAGTGAAAAGTGCTTTGAGGACTTGGGTATAAAAAGGACAGAAAAGGGTAGCTGATTTCTCTTTCAGTATATTTATGTGTCAGGTAGTAAAATGGAATTGAGATGTTTTAACTAAGATCAGCATCCCATGCCTAGGTGTATCAGGGCACTTCTTAAAAGGTTCTCCACAGGCAACCATACTTGATGACCTTCTCTTCTGACAGAATTATAGGGGCCAGGCAGATTCATAGACTCACCCCTCAGATTACAGACTAGTGTTACTCTACAATACCCTAATTTGATTCAGAGAATCATGTCATTGTGGGGGTCTTTCATCTCCTGGAGTAGACAATTTCAGAGTAGCCAACTTCTATTTTTTTCTAGCAGAACTTTTTTTTAATTGTTCAGAACTTTCATGCATGCGTATAATGTATAGTGATTAACGCCCCCATCCTCTCCCCTCTAATTATTCTCCTGTCACTTTCCTCACTTTCCTTCCTGTCTTAGACACTGTTCTGTTACTGTGAAGGTACACGTCATTACCAAGGCAACTCCTGTAAAGGAAAGCACTTAATTGGGGGCTGGCTTACAGTGTCAGAGGTTAGTCCATTATCCTCACAGAGGAAGCATGGTAGAATGCAGGCAGACGTGTTGCAGATGTAGCTGAGAGTTCTACATTCTGGATCTACAAACAAGAGAGAGAGAGAGACTCTGCTTAGAATGAGCTTTTGAAACCTCGAAGTCCACCTCCAGTGACATACTTCCTCCAACAAGACTACACCTCCTAACTTTATAATTATTTCAAACAGTTATACTCTCTGGTGACTAAACATTCAAATATACAGTCTTACTGGGGTCATTCTTAACAAACCAACACAACTTCCAACTTTATGTGCCCTTTTGAAACACACTAAATCCAAGAAGTACTACCTGTAATGTACAAGGGTGTAAGATGATGGAGTAGAGCATGGATAGCCACTCAAGTACCAAATCCTTATAGAAAATCAGCTGTTCCCCTTCCAGCAACCATCAACTGTCAATAGCTTAATTATTATTCTCAGGTCTCTATCTTTATCAAATGAAAACAAAGCCAAAAAATTCACTAAGCCTTTTCCCTGTTTCTTATTGGTTCTTGAGCAAATATTTTAAACTGACTTCACATTTTCAAAATCCAAGATGATGTTTTTGTGTTTCTTTGATGAGTTATTTTATTAAAGTTTCATCACTCATATTCAAATATGCTTTTAAATTTTTAAAATATATAATTATGAACATTACAGTAATTATAAAAACTAGATCTGAAACTAACTTAAGGTAGAAAGATAAGAGTTCAGGAAACTTACTTTAAGAAAGATAACACAGCTGATGGTTAACTAAAAGAATGTTTGAACTTAGGTCTTCTGATATGTCCATAGGATTCTTCACATGGGAGGTTATCTAACTCACATTCCTCACCATGCATGTTATGTAAATAAGTCATATACTATCCACAGGTAGGAAAAATACTGAGTAGCCATAGAAGATAAGGGTCAGAACAACTGTGAGATCATGCTGGGAGATCATGTAAACAAGATTTAGATCAGTCAGACAGGCACTTATGAAGAGGGGTCTTCACAGAAAACAACATTAAATAATCCTATCAAGTCATGTGACTTTAGAGGTAGAAAGAAATCCCCATCAAAATCCTCACTGAATGACATTTTCTTTACTTAGCAGTAAATATGTTATTCACACATAGGTGCCTTAAGTACAACCAGTGTATCTTTTCTGATTGTGTCAGAATAACAATTTAAATAATCTCAGAACAGTGGAGAAAAACTAAATGTATTTTTAAGCAGATTAAAATGCTGATCTAAATTGTTCTAGAGATTTCTGGAATCTAGATTCTTGGGGATAAAGTCGTCAATAAGTTAGCCATTCAGTATTTGTTTCTAGTTGAATTTGAAAAAGGATACAACTTATCTCATTCATTTAAGCTTTTGTTGCCATCATGTGGCTCATAAAAGCCAAATAGGACAGTGTAGACTATAGAATTTTGCCATCCGTTTGCAGAATTTTGCAGAAGTTCTACTGGAGAGTAGTGACCCAGGTTCTAAAGCTGTCCACTCTCTAAACAATAAGCATTGACTTTGTTAGACATGCTGACATAATGTTTAAAGTCATTGAGGAAGCTAAGTCTGACCTCCACAGAAGAAAGCAAGCCCAATAAGATCACTGCAAGAAAAGGTTTCTGCTGTCACAACTACAGTGAAAGACAAAGGATGAAGGGAGACAAGGAGTAGCATTTAACAGTAGTGAAGTGCTTGCTGACAATTGTGAAGACCTGTGTTCAAATCCCCAGAACTCATGTAAAGACATTATATATTACCATATGTTTGTAACCCCAGCACTTCTACAGAAATGGTGGGGGGCAGGCTTAGGCTATGCCACGGAAACTCCAGCTAGGCATGGCATACACAGCAAAAATTACAAAAGGAAGCAAAAATGTTAGAGGTAGGTAAAGTGAACCAGGAAAAGGATGAATATAGAAATCATGTGACATGTAGATATTTTCCTTTTGTTTGTACTTTTTTTGTTGTGTTGTGGTCCTAGGGATCAAATCCAAGACATTGAGCATTCTGGACAAGCATTCTACCATTAACCTAACAGAACAGGAGGATTCATGTGTAACGCCACACCAGCAATTCCCTCTATTCTTACAGAGATATCTCTGGGTGGGGGTTGTGTGGGAAACATTGTGTGTGTGTGTGTGTGTGTGTGTGTGTGTGTGTGTGTGTGTGTCAAGGAAGAGTAACAATATGATTCAGCCACAGGTTTCTCTGTTCCTCTGTAACTCGGTCTTGATTTTTATTTTAGATCAATGGTGGAGAGAAGCGGCCTGCCTCTGATATGGGGAAAAAACCAAAAACTCCCAAAAAGAAGAAGAAGAAGGACCCCAATGAACCCCAGAAGCCTGTGTCGGCCTATGCTCTGTTCTTTCGTGATACTCAGGCTGCCATCAAAGGCCAAAATCCAAACGCTACCTTTGGTGAAGTCTCTAAGATTGTGGCTTCCATGTGGGATGGCCTTGGAGAAGAGCAGAAACAGGTAAGAAGGGTTTGAAATGGATGGGATTGGTATGTAAGATGAGATTGTTTTCAATTTAAATGAAAAAAAAGTATTTTAAAAAATAAAAAATAAACAACATGGATGGAATAAGCTTGATCACAGACAGTATTATGGGCTTCAAAAAAGAGCTTCAGTGGGCATCAAGGAAAGTTGTCAGAGAGTGTGACTTTGACTTAGAAAGTGTCCCCTCCTGAACCAGACTCTAACAGAGGCCTCCATCTGGACTCTCTTTATACTCTTCCATAAGTAGCAAGTTAGTTCCCTTGTTTCAAAGTTTTATCCAGTGTAGCTACTTTGGGAAGGACTTCCTCATACCTCAGCCAAGATTACATCACTTCTTCATGTTGCCAGTGTGAGCATAGACTAAAAGTTCCTCTGAAAATCACGCACACCTCTCTCCAGAACTCATTATTTACCGGTGTCATCACACTCTTTTTGTTCTTTGCAAAATGAACCTCGTTTAAGAGCTTCTATCCTTACCCTCTCCTAAAGACCGCCAGGATATATTATCCAACCCATGTTTCCAAGCTGGGTAAACTTCCATTTCTTTACCCAAGGTGGGTGACTTCCCTTTCTTTTCTTATGGATGGACATGGTGTGAATGAGAGCCATGCTTAGGGAAGGCGTGTGACACATGCCAGCAGGGCCAGGAGTCGCCCGGGAGATCGTGAAGAGGTTGCGGAGTGAAGTTTCAGAAAATCGATGGAACTCACCCATGTAAAGAAGCAATAGCAATCCTGTTCCTAAACTAGAGGCTAGATGGCCATTGTTGCAATGTAGAATTATTGCCACAAACATTAAATAAGCATGATAACAAATAATCAATGTGACAACATAACCATAGCTATCACGAAATAAAAATTTCTGCATTCATCATGTGTCAGGGTCACATTTGACCCTTGATAGAAGTATTTTTGGCTTTTCACCATGTCCAGGGAAGTACACTTAAAAACAGAGGTGAAGTGCTTGCTGTGCAAGTATGAAGGACTGAGTTAAAAACGCATAAATAGCAGAACTCATATGCAGCCAGATGTGATGTCACTCATATACAGACAGATGTGACTTCACTCATATATAGCTAGATGTATTGTCACTCATATATAGCCAGATGTGATGTCACTCATATGCAGCCAGATGTGACATCACTCATATGCAGCCAGATGTGATCTTAGCATTTCTACTGCAAGATAGAAGCAAAGATAGGGAAGTCCCTGGAAGCTCATGAACCAGCTAACCTGGCATTCACTGAAGAGACGAACAAGGAGACCCTGACACAAACAACATGGAAGACAATGGCCTGGACCTGAGATTGTCTTGTAACTGCCACACATGCACCTTGACATGCACAGGACCATATTCATACAGATCCTCTATCTATCTATCTATCTATCTCTATCGATCTGTCACACACACACATACACACATGGTAGAAAGTGGATTAGAACTTTTTTTAAAAGAAGACAAATGTGTGTGCCTTAGAGGAATCATATATATAGGATTTATACTGTTGAAAGACATTTAGATTATCTCCTTTATACAACTCAGTACTCACAAGTCTATAATGACTTGTCAAAAATCTATGAAATAGAGTCAGGAAAATTAAGTTTACTCATTTAGTTGACAAATATTTTTGAGCATATATTTGCCAAGCACTGTCCAGACCCAGTAGATTTGGCAATAAGCAAGACAAATAGGTCTCCACTATGCTACTAATCTCTCCATGCTTTCATAGCCAGGAGATATCTACTATGAGGAGAGCTTGCCATTGAACATACAGTTCTCTTCTTGACAAACTCTTAGCAGCAGTGATGGCTGCAATGACTAAACCAGATGTCAAAAAACAGACATCCTCCCATCCCCCACACCTCTACTGTAAGTCAGTTATCTTTCATGACCTGAAATTTCTACACATTTTCTTATATCTTCAAGATGGTCAGACAGAGGGAATGTCAACAAGACTTCCCTACAGAGTCCAGATTTAATGGTGGTTAACAAACTGTGAGAAATCTGTGCATTCAACGAATGTAGTCATGTGACTGTTAATAGAGCAGGTAATGTTGCATTGCATAATTCTAGTTGAAATCTAATTGTTATTTCAGGATTTTTGGAAGCAGTTTCTAGCTGGTTCCTAACTCAAATCAATTATCTTCCATCTTTCCAGGCCTTAGATGAGTTTTCTCATTGAGGGTGCAACTCTAAAGGTATCTTCCCTCCAATTAGTAGGGAATTGCTGAATGATGGTTAAAGTTCACATGGATGAGAGAGCCCAGCCCTTGTCCCTATTCTCTGAACAATGTCACATCCATGCGTACCTATTGTGCTGCCCTCCCATCCCTTTGTGTACTCTTGGAAATGTCCTGAGCATCAACCCCTGTCCCCTTCCATGCTAAGATTAAATTTGCTGGAGGATGTTCCAGAAAGTGTTTTCTTCAAGGACTCTACACCTAACTCGTGTCCATCAGAAGGTATACATGGTTCCCTTTTGTTCTGCTTTGCCTTCTACTCTTTCAAAAACACCCCTCTCTCTGGCTAACATTTAGTTTCCTTTCCTTACTGCCTTTGTGGTCCAGTTACCTTAAGATTTCCATACATTCAAACCCAGGGTTTTCAATAGAGTTATAAAGACTTCACAGCCCAGGAGCTGTCTTTTGCATTTCCAACATAAAAATAACTACCTGTACTGTTATTGCTGATGGAGAAAAAAAAATAATGTTCATACAATCAAAACCAGTTAATTCCAAAAGACAGCAAGTATAAAGAGACAAAATTCATACACTGATTCTATTACAGTGATGACTTGTATTTTTAATATAACAAAAGAAGAATATTAAAATATCTTTCAACATTTGCCTAGCCATATATGATTAATTGGGTGTGTGTAGAGAGATTACATATATGTGCATGAAAGAGATTATATATACATATGGATACAAAGTGAGAGAGAGAGAGAGAGAGTAGACTACTGTTACCGACTGCCATCTTAAAAGGGGACATTACTCCTATTTCCCTACTTTATGTTTCAGAGTAGATGTGATTACAGTTACAATGTAATAGTCAAGACTGTTTAATAGAACACTATAATGTCAAGACATTTTCCCTTTTCTCTTTATGGAGGTAGTTGAGGTGTTGGGAGGAAAATGCATTTGATAAATAAAGGATAGAATTATATAATATTTGGACAATAGAATTCATATATGCAGAATCAAAATCTACTCGATAAAACAGATTTATGCCAAGATTGTCTAAGACAATACTTCTACCTTATGTTTCTTGAAAGGTATGTTTTAAAATGTGAGTACTTGTTTGAGAGTTACCCAAATAAGATGTGAGGAGCAATTTAGGTCACCCCAAGATGATTTGTGGTGTGCCTAATGTTCCCTGTTGATGTAGCAAGAACCCATCTAGAGATACTCTTGCTTAATAAAGACACAGACTGCACATTACTCTCAAATGGAGGCCCATCCCTTCACTCAGAGCACTTGGCATCCTATGGTCCAGCCACCATTCTGCTGCACCATTTCAGACAATCACTATTTACAGGAGATGCCAATGAGGCAAGCATGCCTGCCTAAAAGGCATGTTTGAATCCAAAAAATGTCAAAATTATCCCAAGATATTTTATGTGCTTATCACCCATCCATTACCTTTCTGTTGGCTCATTGTGCCGACACACTATATAATAGCTGCTCTGGGGTTTTGAAGGAACACTCCTAAATTAGTTTAGACAAGCCCACAGGATGGCTTTGCTTTGTGTAGGCAGTGTGGGTAGGAGGTGGAGATTTCAAGTTCTATAGCTGCTTGAAAACCCTGTTGTCATAATAGCCCACACTGGGAGCTGCTACAAATATAAACACAAACGGGGGAAATGGACAGAGTTATCAATGACTTATTGGCGACCCAGAAACTAACAATATTTAAGGGAAAACATGATTAGTGATATTACAATTGAATAGTTTTCTGCCGGCCAGTAGGAACATGCCTAATGGAGCACTGTGTTTCCATAGCATGTCTGCTCAGTGTGGAGTCCAGGCAGAGTGGAAAGTCAGCACGGAGGGCGGGTCTTCAGTTCTTAGACTCCACAGTGAGTGAGAAACTGCATGTACTTTGATTCCACAAATGCACTTTGAAAGAGGAGAAATCAAAAGGAAGCTAAAATAAATGGTAACAATTCTCAAGGAACACAAAACCTCCCTCAGGAATCTTCCCCTGCAAAGACACCAAACACTCCACATATCAGAGATGGCTCTATTTGAATACTTGGGAAGAAAATGCTGAATCTGGAATGCAGAGAAAATTGTGCTTGGGATTCCAATGGGGGTTTTAAATGCTAATGACTCGTAAGACAATGAAGAACCCCTTTCAGAAACATACCAAGTTGTTTAAAAGACACCAGATGGAGGAAGGGCATAAAACACAAGTATTGCTGTGATGCCAGGTTTTGCTACTTATCTTCCCCTGACTGGAACCTGCAGAGGAAGAAAAGTAAGTTAACAATACCATCTTCCTGCATCGTGGCTCCTCAGAATTTCAGCATCCTTCGGCTGAAATTTTTCATAATGTGCTATCTAAATTTCTCATTGCTCTGTGACTTTGGAATGTTCTGATTCTGATCACCAAGGTACAGGACCTAAGCTCATGATGGCAATATAAGACAATTCAAAGTCTATAACATAAAAGGGCTGGTCAGCTTTGAACAGAACAGGTTGGCCCAGAGAGCTGTAAATGGTTCTTGAGTCCCTTTTAGTCATGGAAAGTCACCTTAAATGAGAACCAGATGTAAATTACTAAATGAACCTTAAGTTCCTAATTGGAGACACAGTCGGGCTGTACGACATTTAGCAAATTACAAACAAAATGTTCCTGTTTACACTACGTTAAATGTCTTTAAAGCTGCAGCCAAGAGCTAAATAAACATGCTGTTGTGCTAAAAAAGGAGTGGAAAGCCGACTCGGATTTGGTGTATTCAGGAAAAACCGCAG